TGTTGTTCAACATCACTCTGCATTTCGGATTTTTGTTTTACTTTTACTTTTGCGCGCGCTGTCGTGTATATCCCCTCGAGCGCGTACTTTGCGGAGGGGATGATCGGTTTCACAAACAACAAAAACAAATGAAAAGTGTAGGAGAAAAATAAAAACAAAAGTTTGTTTTGTCATTTATTTATATGCATACCTTTTTCTGTTTTGCAGGGCGGATATCCTGGTCGCCAGCAACGTCACCCAGAGCAAGAGCCTATGTAACATCACGATGGTAAGTCCCACAAGAGTTCGCAGTTCGCAAACAGTTCGAAACCTTAACAAACCAAATTCAAAGAAGTGAATGAAAAGGCATGCGGCCGACTAACACCCCGGTGCAATCCCCTTTAATTCCACTCTGGAAATGCCAGCTACGCCGGACATATTCGGAGCACTCCCCTCCCAACGGCGTGCAGCCCGAGCGCCGTGGTGGTAGGCCACCCATCTGACGGCCACGGCCGCACGGCGGCCAGCTAACTAATATCTCACTACTTCTCCTCACTTCTCTATCCCCGTCTCTCTCTCTCTCTCTCGGGCCGTCCCTCCCTCCTTCCCTCCCTCCCTCTCTCTCTCCCTCCCTCCCTCCCTCCCACTCCGAATTTAATAGGACTGTCATACAGACTGTCGTGGAACTTTTTCTTCTATTGGGCCTAAAATAACAATATATCAATATATCTGTCTATCTCTATCTGTCTCATACAGAACGGGTATCTACTGTTTAAAGTATAAGTTTAATCATTTGAAATTTCAGTTCAATCATACATTAGGTAAACGCGGGGGGCCAGAGCGTCATGTCGGGGAGACCACCTGTTGAGTATAGCCAAAACAGAGAGCTAAATGAAATAAATTTCTAAAATAATTTTTTTTTTCTAATCTAGAATATTTTTATTTAAGCCACCAAGCCTTCTAGTGGTTGGACGAACTTTCTGCGGTGCCCACATTCAGCCGACCACATCGACAACATAGTTCAAGGTGGAAATAACCATTGAACCTTAGCATTCAAAACAGGCTATAATCTAAGTTTCAATGGGTATATTTAGCCAGCTACAAGAAGGTCAGAGTAAACACCCTCATATGCAAAGTTGCTTTGTGTGGCATACCATCCCGTGCGGCAGGGGTCATGACAAAATATGGGCTGACAGAATAGGCAAACTCTCAACACTGTTACAAACCGTCCAACTGGACTGACGCTAACTCTTATAAACACTACGCAAGAAAAAGGACCAGAAGACGACTAACATTTCCACGCAAATTGCCCACTGAATTCCTCAAATTTAGGATACATAATTTACATTTCTTCTTGACGGGTTCGTTTCGCAGTTTACACGAAGTGTTACATTGTTTTTCTCTGCGGTGTTTCTTTTTTTTTGGCCTTTAAATCATTAAATGCCTCCGGAGGTGGGCCATCATGTTTCTCCGGCACGCGAATGTCTTGCCGCACTCGGTGCACTTGTACGGCCTCTCTCCCGTGTGTGTGCGGAGGTGCAGACTCAGCGTATTGCTGTGTGCAAACTTCTTGTGGCACACGCCGCACTCGTAAGGCTTCTCTCCCGTGTGAGTTCGGAGATGTGACCGCAGATCGCCGGCGCTCACACACTTGGCGTCGCACTCCGTGCACTTATACTTCCTCTCTCCGGCGTGGACCAGGAGATGCATGTGGAGACCCCCCTTTCTC